GCGCTGCGCCACAGCTCGCCGGGGACCCTCGTTACCGAAATATAGGCCACTTTTTCCTGCAGCACCATTTCTTCTCACAAGGACATTTTCCAAGTAAATCTGTTTTTCATTCTCTGTTACTTCCCCTCATCGGCTTTTGTCCATCCTCCGTTTTCTGTAAGAGGAGTATAACAGAGCGAGGGAGGAGAGGCGCGGCGAGGGCTCGGAGGCTCCGATGAGGGAAAAGATGCAAATCTGAAAGGTCTCCTTCCTCATCCCCCTCGTGTCTCGTAGTCCCTAATGACCTCTGTGCCACGAGGCCGTACGGCCGAAGATAGCTTGGCTTTGTGTCACTCCTGACCGTCTGTCAACCGCCGACAGTGCCCGAGCGTGAGAAACTGGGGGGCTGCTCGACCCCCCCCCTTTCCTACAGCCCTGCTGCCTCCCCCTCCTGACCTCCTCGCTGTCTCCTCCATCCCCTTCTCCTCCCCCCTCTCCTCCCTCGGGCTCTTGTTCTTGTTCTTGTTCAGCTTTTTCCTCTTCTCCTCCTCCTCCCTCTTCTTCTCCTCCTTCTCCCTCTTCTTCTTCTACTCCTTTTTTCGTATTCCTCCTAATCGTCTCCTTTTGTTCTTCTTCGTTATCATTATCGTATATTTTCTTTTTCTCCTCATTCTTCTTCTTCTTCTTCTTCTTCTTCTTCTTCTTCTTCTCCTTCTGCTTCTTCTTCTGCTTCTTCTGCTGCTGCTGCTGCTGCTGCTGCTGCTGCTGCTGCTGCTGCTGCTTCTTCTTCTTCTTCTTCTTCTTCTTCTTCTTCTTCTTCTTCTTCTTCTTCTTCTTCTTCTTCTTCTTCTTCTTCTTCTTCTTCTTCTTCTTCTCCTTCTGCTTCTTCTTCTGCTTCTTCTGCTGCTGCTGCTGCTGCTGCTGCTGCTGCTGCTGCTGCTTCTTCTTCTTCTTCTTCTTCTTCTTCTTCTTCTTCTTCTTCTTCTTCTTCTTCTTCTTCTTCTTCTTCTTCTTCTTCTTCTTCTTCTTCTTCTTCTTCTTCTCCTTCTGCTTCTTCTTCTGCTTCTTCTGCTGCTGCTGCTGCTGCTGCTGCTGCTGCTTCTTCTTCTTCTTCTTCTTCTTCTTCTTCTTCTTCTTCTTCTTCTTCTTCTTCTTCTTCTTCTTCTTCTTCTTCTTCTTCTTCTTCTTCTTCTTCTTCTTCTTCTTCTTCTTCTTCTTCTTCTTCTTCTTCATCTCCCTCTTCCTCTACTATTTCTTACTTTATTTCTTATTTATATTCTACTTTTACTTCTTTCTCATATAATTTTTGTTCTTATTTTAGTAATGTAGTTATTGCTGTCATTTTTCTTCTTTTCGCTCGTCATGTTCTACCTCTTTATCCTCTTCATCATCTTGTTCATAGCATCATCATTGTTATTATTGTTGTTCTTGTTCCTATTAATGCTGTTGTTATGAACGTTCTTTAGTCATATTTTCTCCATTCTTTTGTTATTGTTCTTTTCTGTCTTCCTCTTCCACATTTTTTTTCTCTCATCCCTTTTTTCTGCTTCTTCTTCTCATGCTTCTTCTTTTCTTCCTCTTTTGCTTATTCCAAAGCTTCTTGCTCCTTGCCCGGCCACTAAATCCTGCAGCTCAGCCTTGCATCCATAGACTCTGCTGTGACATTCTTGCCTTCTTTGCGCCGGCATCGTCTTCCTAGTTCTCTCCTTCTCTCAGCCCTCTCCCCTCTTCCCCTCCTCTCTTTTTAGTCTTTCTCCCCCCCCCCTCCATTTCGCCGAGACCCCGGATCCGCTTGAGTTGCCTTGATTCGCCTCCTTACTGAAAGGAAGGTATACGTTTCATTACATTTCCCTAACTGCTTCAAAACTGACGGAGATGGAGACAGATAGGAAAAGGAAGCGCGACAAGACGGTTTGCCTCTGAACACTTGTTTTGAAAATGAAATGTTATTTTGTTTAATAAAATGGTTCATATTATTGCAATCCTTCATACAACCCCCTCTCTCTCTGTTTCTCAACTCCATCTTCCCTCTTCTCCATTCCCGCGTCGCACCCTCCCCCCCCTTCCTCCCGCCCATATGGGTATGATGGCGACGCTCATAGCATTCCTGCGTATAACCGCCCTAGACAAGTTCGAGTTTCCCATGTCTGTCTCATTACCGCCTTTGGGAAAGAGCAGGAAAAGACCAGAAGGTACAGTATGAGAACTAGGAATACAAAGAGAGGGAAGAACGAAGAGACACAACAAAAGAAACAAAAAATAGAAAGAACCATTTTCACGCGAACGTTTATATTCTTCTTTGTTCTCTGTCACACGTTCTTTTTTCGATGTTGTTATCAGCCCTTGTTTTTTATTTTATTTTTTGCTTTTGCATGTGCATGTATCGAATTTTCTTTGCGTTTTATTGTCGATTCATACTGCGGTTATTTTCATTCCTCTCATTCCCTTTAACTTTTGTTTGTTTAGCTCTCAATCTATCGTCTGTCTCCTTCCCATCCCTCCCTTATGTTTTCCTTTGGCGCCCTCCACCCCCGCCCTACCGCCCTCCCCACAACAGCCGCGCACAACTGCCCTGTTTATTTATATTCCCCTTTTTAGCAGCGATCCACAGCCTACTTTTTTCTACCCCAAACAAGAGGAGTCTATATATATTTCTTTTTTTAAGATCTTCATTGTTGTTCTGGTTTCGATTTTTTTCTTCCTTGTCCTCTTACCTTTTCTAACTGACATGTTTGGTTTAAATTGATATTGAATTTGAAAAAAGCATGTCGAAAGCTGAAAGCGCCTTTATATGACGCAGCTTGCAGGGGCGAGACAGACAGGCGGCCGGACAGAGCGAGAAAGAGACGGGAACGACTGCCTCGCCATTCTTCGGGCATAGGCTTTCCCATCCACACTTTGGGCGTGCGAGCGCGAGGGAGTTGTTTGACAGCGCGAGTTATGAGCAGGTGATACAAGACATCGTCCAGAAAGGTCAGCTGACGCAGCCAAGTCCAGCTGAATTTGTTTACAAAACCTCCTGATGCGTGGATTGACCTGGGGCCGAAAAGTTTGTTTACGCGCGGGGCAGTTAGCACCTTGCGCGACGCTCAGAACAGTCACAGAATAGCAGTCACCTTCAATCTGCATTTTTTTCTCAAACTACTACGCGTATTGAAAATCTACGATTTAAGGATGTACCACTTGTTCTGTAAGTCAGGATGTTATAGTTATATTTGCATTTCTTGTAATCATCTTTATTACCATCACTACCTCCTACCTTCATTTGCGACTGCTAACGTCAGCACTTGAAGGGAGCAAAGGCAAGATAACAACACGAGCTAAGAAGGTGACAGCAGCGAGGACCGGTCGAGGGGAAGACAAGGGCCGGATGGGCGGTGGAGGGGCGGCGGTGGGCGGTGGAGGGGCGGCGGTGGGCGGCGGAGGGTGGCTGCGAAGAGACCAACACTGGAGACACATATTGGACGTGTCACGAGTCACCAGACAGTTTATTTTGTGAGCGTGTGTTTGTTGGTGTAAAGGGGGAGGGGGAGGAGGGGAAAGGTGGAGAGGCGAGTTGGGAGCAGGAAAACAAAGTAAGAATGGGGAAAAAAGGAGAGAAACAGCATGAAAGAGTAGAGAAGCCGTCAGCACACATATCCAAGAAAAGAAGTAGATAAAAAGAGAAGGGGAAGAAGGCGACGCGCGCGCACCTGCCGTAAACCACGTGGCCTAATGTGCTCCTTGGCACATTTCGGGAGAAAGAGGTCAGGGGAGGAGGGCGGGCCAGCGTTGCCTCGCTTCCCCTGGCTTCTCTTCATTGTTGGGGACGTTAGTCTTTCTCCTTCCATCCAGATATCTTTATGTTGAAATTATACTTCGGTTCTCTGCTGCTATCATTAGCTCCATCATCCCGTGTTGCCGCCTTGGATACCATTGGATAGCTCTCTCCGTGCGAGCGTAACAAGGCGAAAGATGGAAAGCAAATATAAAGGAAGAAGGAAAGCGTGTGTAAGTCTGAATAGGTGTGGCGTTTATAGCAATGGCACAGCGGCCGCGGCGCCGTGCGTGGCGAACTGCAAGGGCTTTCCCCTGAGCACCCTGCTTCCGAGGGCGCGGCGGCTATGCGATGCGTGTGGGATGGAGCGGAAGTCTTCGCAGGCAGTCATTGCAGCGTTCCTTCTGCATTCCTTCCTTCCTTCAGTGTTCTCCTCAGCTTCGTCTGCGCCTGCCTCCCTCCCTCCTTCGAATGCGCCCAGTCCTTCCCTCACTGCCCGGACCTGCGTTCCTCCTTGTCTCCCTCACACTTCTCAATCTCGCATAGTGTGTTCTCTCTCATGTTGACGGGCTGATGAGTCTAGGAGCCGAGATTAGGACAAGTATGTGGCGGAGCTTAAGTGTTGATCCTACCCATGGGGAAGTCCCCCTCCCCCGCACTTTCCTTCTCCCCCCGCCACCCCCGACCTTCCTTCAGCCATTCCCCTCTTGCTACTCCCCCCCCCCCCCCCCCCGCCCTTCCATCTGTGCCTGCCACTTCCTCTCCCCTCTCGGAATCGGAGATTTTTAAGCAATTTATAAAGGGTAGAAATGTGTGTTTTTATCATTCTTATAGCATTTTTTTCTCTTGTCTTATTTTCTGTAATCGCGAGTACGAGCGTTGAATGCATTTTCTTTATTTTATCAGTTATTTTATATTGCATATAAAAAAAAAACATCTGGCACCAAAATTTCATCCGTGCCCACGCGCGTGTGCACGTGCGTGTGCGTGCGTACGTGTGTTGGTGTGTCAGAGACTGGCTGGAGCCACCTGCTGCTGTTAGGCAAGAGGCGAGGATGAAGAACGCGGAGGGAAGGGTGGGAGAAACTGCCGCACAGAAATATTGTTTTCTTCGCCAAAGTGCCAGTAACGGATTTTAAGCATAAGGGAACAGAAAGGAAAAGGAACTATTACCAAACATAGAAAGTACACAGCTTGACAAAGACTTATTTTGGTTGTGAATATCTAATCTGAACAAAAAATAATCTTATTTATACTGTTTCAGGACACTGCCAATGCTGTTCAGCTGGGCTACCACATGGAGAAGCTGATATTTGACCTGGCAGACACGCACTTCTTCTTCAATGATCTAGAGGTAAAATACGCTTCTTTAGTTTTCCTAGTGAACACTTGGGATGTGCATCATATGGGTATCTGCTCCCTGAAGTGTATATCTACTTACAGAAATCACAGTTTTAATGGCCTTTCTTTGCTCAGGAGTGCGACCAAGTTCACATCGACGACGTGTCCTCGGACGACAACGGCCAAGACCTCAGGTGAGGGGGCGAGGTTCTCCTCGAATGAGAGCGAGAGAGAGAGAGAGTTAGAGAGAGAGAGAGAGAGAGAGAGAGAGAGAGAGAGAGAGAGAGAGAGAGAGAGAGAGAGAGAGAGAGAGAGAGAGAGAGAGAGAGAGAGAGGGAGGGAGGGGGGGTGAGGCCCGAGTGTACGAGCGAATGTGTGAGTGAATGCTGATGGTTGAGTAATGGGTGAGTTCAGTGTGTAATTGCATATTTGTGTGCGTGTGTGAAAGAGAGAGAGAGAGAGTGAGAGTGAGTCACAGACTAGATTACACAAGATTTTACCTTAGTTTTGCAACTTGTCTTCAGTAACTACAACTTCGCAACGGACGGGTTCAGCGCTGCCAACAGCAACGCTTCGCTGTGCCTGGGCACGGGTGTGCGAGGAGGCGTTGACTGGATGAGGAAGCTAGCATTCAGGTACCGCAAGATCAAGGAACTTTTTAACAGCTGCAGGAACAATGCCGGAAGTAAGTACCCGCAGGTTTGACTCTTGGCACACTTCTACGCAGATTTTAGTTTTCCTGTGCAAATGGTCAATGCTTTATACAGTTATGTAGAAAAAAAATATGAAGGTGGTATGCTGCATGTCGACAGGAGAAGCAAATTAACATTGCTAAATTAACGAGAGCTGAATAGGTAGATTAGGTACTTATATTGGGTGTCTGTGTAAACTTAATTGATGAATATATGAAAAAAGGTTAAGAATTAACCAATAATGACAGCTTTTTACCCTTGCCATCTCCTCCCGCGAAGGTCTCCTGGATCCCGAGAATAGAGAAAAGTGGCACAGAGTTCGCCAGGAAATCGAGACCCTGACAGACCAGTGGCTGACAGAGTCCATGAAATGCCTGCAGCTCATAGCCTCGAGGCCCAACTGCGTGAACGTGCTGGTGACCACAACGCAGCTGGTCCCCGCCCTGGCCAAGGTCCTCCTCTACGGCCTCGGCTCCGTCTTCCCAATCGAAAACATCTACTCGGCAACCAAAGTCG